ATTCCATGCCCATGCAGTGGTTCCAATAAGCTGTGTGCAAGAAGAAAGCCTGACCTATCTGGCATCAGACCCTGAGTCAGCCAGTGATACAAAATCCTCAGTCCTCTGGATTTTAACCTGCACATCCTAATCATAGGCACCAGAGAGACCTGGCACTTGGCCCCGCTCGAGGTTGCACCCAACTCAAGAGCCTGGGCTGCAGCACAGAGAGGACCAGCTCTGAGGCATGGCTCTGCCGGGGCACACCAGGCAAGGATTCTGGGCAACTGGTGCAATGATACTGACTCCCTTGAAGATCCTGGTCCCCAAAAGCAGGGTAACCCCAGAGCTGACATGGATCCCCATAGATAGGCGGTCCCAGGGCAGCTCTGACAAGGTGCAGAACTAGGACCACTCTCTGTACTTCACAGGGTGGAAGGATGGTCAAAGCCAGGTCTCTGTCCTTCCCCCACCCTGGTCCATGCTGCACCAAGGCCCCTGCCCCACAAGCTCACCTGAGTGTCCCACATGGACTTGTGGCTTAAGCCTGCTCCTCATCCCCTGCCTCATCTGGGGAACCTTTACACTGGAGGTCTGTTTCCCAGAGGCAGAAAAGCAGTCATCCACCTCCTCACTCTGGGGAAGAGTGGATGGGAAAGGGAGGAAAGAAAGAAAAAGCAGGAGGAGAAAAAGGGAGTGGGAAAACAGGATGGAAGGGAGGAAAGTCTCAGCTGCGCGGAGGTGAACTGTGCAGGACTTTGCCCCTGGTTAGGCAGGGCTGGCTCCCTGGCTCTCTGTTGAAGGCAGAGAGCCAAATTCCTAGGGCACTTTCAGAAGCAAGCCGAGGAGACTGTGTACTGGGCTTCCTGCCAAAGCAACTCTGACCAGCCCGGTTTTACATGCGATGCCCTATGGACGGTGGCTCTATGGACAACTGCCATCCAGCTGGGCGCTGACAGCTGTCACGGGGGGTGACAGCAGGCCGAGGGAGGGACAGCTTTGCTCCGAGGCGCTTGTTTACGTCCTGGTTGACTACAGGACCTGGGAGCAGCTGAGCTGCCCCTCGCATTGAGACTCCCCTTTGCTCCAAGGACTCTGCTAGCAGCACTGGACTGAGCAGGGGCAAAGCAGAGCGGACAGGGAGCATTAGGGGGGCAGGCATGAGCGTCCAGCCCCCTTCTGCTTCCTGGGGCTGTACCCTGCGCCGTCAGATGGACCTGCAGGGACTTGGGGGCTTCTCGGATCTGCACATGGGGGTGGGGGGACGAGCCTGGCAACCCCTGGGCCGGCTCCGGCGGGGGGTTCACAACCTGCGCGCCCTCGGGACAGGTGGTCCCCGCCGCCATGGCGGGCCGTTACCTGGCAGGGCTCGGACCGAGCGCCTGAGGGGCACGAGCAGGAGGCGGAGAGCGCGGAGCAGCTGCAGCGCGGGGTGCGCGCACCGGGACCGGCGCGCCGTGGAAGCCCGGCCCCGGCTCTTGCGCTCCGGCGCTTGACTGGGAAGCCGGCCCCGGCGCCCCGGGGAGGGGGCGGAGAGGCAACCCGGGGCGCGGGGAACCGGCGGCCTGCCGAAAGCGAGGCGAGCGAGCTGCGATTCGTGAGAGCAGCCGAGCGAAGCGGCTTGCGCAAGCAGCAAGACCGGGCCCGTGGCTGTGGTGGTCCGTGCCCGCAAGGGGCGGTGGCCGGCTGCGAGCTGCAAGCGGAGGGAGGTGGCGGGGTTTCCGGCCAGCCCGACAAAGAAAGGCTGTTCCCCCCCCCCACACGCGCACTTTGCAGATCTCTTCTCCGTGGTCTCAACCGTGTCCTTGCTCAGGAGGCTTTTCTGGCTGGCCCCCTTGCCCCTGACAGTGGCAGCTCGTGGTCTCAGGCTGGACCACACTCGGGAGCCAAGGCCGCTTTGAAAACCAAGTCGGGCCCTGCACGGCTGTCTCGGCACTGGGCCCAAGGGCCCGGACACTGCTGGCTCACCACACAGCGCAGTGCGGGGCTCAGTCCGGAGCCCGATGCCGACCTTCCTGCCACATAGCCGGCTCTGCCCCTATCCATCCTCCCGTCGGAAACCACAGACCCACCCGTCTCACGGACCAGCTGCTTAGCGAGGTGAAAGGCAGCCTTTCACCTTCTGCCACCCTGCAAAGCCAGGCCCACCGCTGCCCCAGCAGTCCCATTGGTGAACTTGCTGTCTGGACTTCTCCCATTCGAGTCCATCCCAGCAGCAAGCTCCACCACCCTCCTTTGCACTCCTGCATCAGTCCCCAGGGAACTTTTCTTAGCCAGATCTCTGGGCTTATTTGATGAAATGACAAGCCTACAGCCTGCAAATAGCAACAAGGAAACCAGCAGTGGGCATCCCCACCTCTGATCACATCACACCATAGGAGGAGCAGCACTGTAACCTGGAAAGCACCGACTGCTGAAGGGCTTGAGGCCCTCCACAGAACGCCTGAAAATATCTAGCCCTGTTCTGCCAGTGCCCTTTGGGGAGCAGTTGCTTGGAGAACAGGAGCGGTGCAAAAGCCAAGGGACTCTTGGTGCCTCAGGGGCAGCCCCTCTCAGAGGTCAAGAGATGCCCGGGCCACTTCCATTTTTTGAGGCTCCCGGTATATTAAAAAAATATTAATTCATAGTGCACTACAGGCGGTATGGCCTGGTAATGGGACACAAGTTTAAAGTTGTATGATGAATGTCTTCTTCTGTCAGTGTATATCTGTGTCTGTATGTATAACCTCATTTGGAGATAACGTCAAAAGTCTAAATGTGAGGCCCTCCATGAATGAGAGGCCCAGGCCAAATGGCCCTCCTCATCCCCCCTCTCCCCCCACCCATGATAGGCCCTGCTCAGGGGACCTGCCAGTTCACTGTACATTCACGGCTGGTCCAACTAAAACCATGCCATCAGCTCCCCTGCGACAAAACTTCTCCTCTTCCCCTCTGAGCTCTCTAATTATTCCTTAAGCATGTCCTTCAAGGGATCCTCTGTACACCTCACCTGCTTCTAGCTCTCTGCCTCAGCCCCCTGCTCTTCCCCTCTGAATAACCACCTCCACAAACACACATCCGAATACCACCCCCATGCAGCTGTCTCTCAGTTGAGTCTCTTAATTCAGCTCCTGTCCAAAGTAGGACCCTGGCTTGGGTAGAGTTGCAATTTTAGACGCAAAGTGCAAGCTGAAGTGCAAGTGGGTATAGCACAAGGTTTCAGGGGCTGGAACTCATTTCATCACACGCTGTAATGGGGAACACAGTTTTTAACCAATAAAGGCGCTTATTGCAGTTTTTTTTCCAACAGAGAAAAAAATGAAAAGCTTAATTAGTCAGTTCTTCCATTGCTGAAAAAGACTTCTATAATAGCAAGAAGGAAGAAGGGAAGAACCATTGATTAAAACCTTTCATTCAAAAAAATAAAAACATTGAATATATTATTATTTAAAGCTAGATCTCCAGAAAATTAGTTTGATTTTTAATTAAAGCTGATAGTGCTTCTTAAAAGCAGCTACTCCATGTACATAGGGAAGGGATAAAAGTTTTGTTCCTCTTTAGATAAAATGACTGCTGCTTTAATTCTATGTATTTTCTATACAGTTACTAAAGCAACATACAATTAGAAATGCATTATAAATGGCTATTTCAAAATTCAGGTATTGTTTAAAGGGCTCTTGCAAATAAAGATGGAAGTTTTTTATTCAATCCATTTAGTTATGCGGCATATCGCTTATTATTGCAGCTCATTCACTGCAGACACTGCTAGTGAATTTACTTTCAGCCTCTTTTTGGACTATAAAATGCACTCCCTAAAAGACAGCCCTGAAGCTCAGTAAAATGTGTTGCAGCTGTGTGCATCTTTGATTGCACTGTTTTTGTCCAATATCTTATGTACATGAAGCAATCTGGCTGCAAAGAAACAACTTACACAAAACTTCAATGAGTTAGATCTAGACAGGCTGGGAAAGTGGGCAGAGAGCAACAGGATGCAATTCAATATGTACAAGTGCAAGGTGCTGCATCTAGGGTGGAAGAAATGCCATCATACCTACAGGCTGGGGGGTGACCTTCTCAGCTCCACTGAGGCGAAAAAAGATCTTGGAGTCACTGTTGACTCCAGGATGAACATGTGTTGCCAATGTGATGAAGCAGTCGGCAGAGCCAATTGCACCTTGTTGTGCATCTGCAGGTGCTTCACAAACAGGTCCAGGGAAGTGATTCTCCCCTCTATGCAGCACTGGTCAGGCTGCAGCTGGAGTATCGTGTCCAGTTCTGGGTGCCGCAGTTCAAGCAGGATGCGGACAACCTGGAGAGAGTCCAAAGAAGGGCCACTCACCTGCTTAGAGGCCTGCAGGCAAGGCCCTATGAGGAAAGGCTAAGGGACCTTAACCTCTTGAGCCTTTCCAAGAGAAAGCTGAGAGGAGACCCTTGTGGCAGCATACAAATTCATAAGGGGAGAGCAACATGAAGTAGGCAATGATCTGTTCACCAGGGCACCCCCTGGAATGACAAGGAACAATGGCCATAAGCTATTAGACAGAAGGTTTTGGGCTGGACTTGCTCTTCACAGTCAGGGTTGCCAGAATCTGGAATGGGCTCCCAAGGGAGGTGGAGCTTACCCCATCCTTGGGGGTCTTCAGAAGGAGACTGGACAGGCACCTGGCTGGGACCAAAAGTCCTCAGTTGCTAGGTCTCCACTTCTATACTCCTCCAGCAATTCACAACACCAGAGAATCTAGCAACCAAGGACTCCTTTTAACTTCTTCTCTACATAACTTCAGAACGTTGTAGGGATGGAGACCAAAGGTGCAACCGAAACAATGGTCAGCATGTGATCAATGACAAACTGATGATTTTGTTTTTTAAGAGGCCCTCAAATACACAGAAATCTAGTGTCACATATCAGCAATTACTACTACCCAATTTACTGTGTCATCTGCAATTGCTTTTAGCTCATTTCTGTATTTCAAGAAATTATATTGCTTCCAAAGGTGTTGAAAGTTTCCTCAATTTTTAAAAATATTTACCAAAAAGCCAAACACATATGAAGCTTTCATTAACATGTGTTCTGGTACATAACACCATACGTGCAGAAGAGTCTGTTCAACTTATTTGCCAAGCAAAATCCATTTTAGCTTTTCAGAGTATTTGCTATCACTGCGAACCTGTCTCTCAGACCCTCCCTTTTCTGCTTCAAGTGATTTTCAATGGTCCTCGCTTCTTTCAAAATTCCATCAAGCTCTTGTACGTATGAAGCATCCATCGCTGCTCTCTCACTGAATTGGAAAAAATCCTCAAATTAAAATACTCAAACTTTAACTCTCAACCACTCCTTGTATTTGGATTCACTTTAATCGGTTAGAAATCGGTTATCCACCAGCCAACACAGTCTCACAAATCAGCTTGTTAAGTCCACAAACAAAACCAAGGGTTTTGGCATTTCAGGATTTATTTGATCTTTCCCTTTCTTGACACTGCATGTGTACACTCCGATACTCAGTTCAGACTGGTGCTCGGCACATGTTCTTAGACAAATTAGAAAAAATAAAAAACCCCTGCAGAAATTTACATTTTCCTTCACTAAGAAGTAGCCAAGCATAGTTCCTTTCATTTAACTTTGGCTCCATAGCAATGTTCCTGAATGCACTATTTTGAAAAACACTGACATCTATCAGAAGTATGGAACTTTTGTCACTCTTTCCTTAATACATCTCGTACACCTGAAAGTACAAGATCATCAAAATATGTTGCCTCCTTTGCCAGAGATCAAGGCTGACAAATAGAATACTTTTGGCCTAGCTAAGAAACAAGATTTTCTAAGATTACATACTTTTTACATACTAAAAATAATTCATGTAAAAATACACACTTGCCTTAAAATGTGGGCGTATTTTGACAACAGGCTATTGATTTCCTTCCCCATGTCTGTTAATGCAAAAATTTAATTAAAAAGAGTGAATACGTTTTATTAATTCCAACATTTAATTAATTAATAATTGCATTTCTGAAAAAAATCCTGTAAATGTTTAATACATCACCATTTAAAACCTTTTCCAGCACATCTGCTTTGTAAAGTGAATGAGAACTCTCAGAAAGAGCTGGGTCTGGTTTTTCAAGGCAGGATAACTGAGGACTTCCTGATGTTTCCTTCTAGAAATGGAACACATGAAAAAATATATGCCAATAAGTTCTTTGGACTGAAAAATTTTGCATATAGTTTTTTACAAAGATCTGCATAATCTGTGTATTTTATTGTAAATTAAGGTTGTATAGTTGAGGTTCATAACTGCAAAAGTGCCTAAGTCCTCAGTGTAAAGAGGCCAAGTGAATGTTAGGTTCTAAAATAGTTTGAATGTATACATTATATACACAAGACTTCATATTCCACCTAGCTGGCACTACCTCCCTGTTAGCAATGACATTTTAAAGTCGTCCTTCCTTTTAGAGAGCTGGTTTGGGTGGGTGGATTTGTGGGAATGCATGACATTTCTGGTCTCTTGGCAGTACTGACCCAAGACTTTTGACTGGATCAGTAAAAAATGTGTTTCTCCCCTACACCAAACTAACCTGCTTTCAATTGGAGAAAGCCCACACAACATGAAACTCTCTCTGGTTCTGTAAGTCTTCAAATCATGGGGGGGGGGGAATCACCCTAGTGGTAAGACATCACGTTGATCTTCAGTAGCATAGGTGAGGCGAAACCCTGTTCTGACTGAACAGCGAGAGTGGACGTAGGCTCACCGCACTTGAATGCAAACGTGCCAGGGGCCAGGGGCGGGGCTGGTGACGATACCCACCAAACAAGGGGAAAGGGGCGGTGCTAAGGCGGGCGGGACTTCTGGTCCCGCCCACGTGTCACATTTGTATTGAAGGGCGGTGAGCCCGCATACTACTAGGGATCAGTAAAGAGCAAACACAAAATGGTAACGAGCTCCAGTCATCCATTCAAACTAGCGCCCCAACCATAATAAAAACCGCTCACATCCATCTCCTTTCTGCGTTTACTGCTGCTCTCTTCAGACGTTCCTGCGTTACTTGTCATTGTTCCCTGCTAAGAAATGTTCGGTAAGTGATGTTTTCTCTGGAAACATAACTCAGCATGTAACGTAGGTGAGGGAGCTGTCTAATGCCATATCCCTCCCTCCAGGGCCTCCGCTGAAACCAAAGCAGAAGCCCAAGTGAAAGCATGGCAACAGCGGCAGGAACTAAATGAACAGGGAACCGAAAGGACTAGCGAGCCCAGCGCCCATCTGGCCCAGGCTGCCGGGCTGCAGAGTCGTTCCTAGATGGAGGCATGTCCACACATGCGCTTTAATACGCAGTAGCCTATTTTAACATGCATTAATTAAAACTAAGCACTTTCACTAATGCACATTAAAATAGGCTAATGCACCTTTTTGTAGCTTCATGAATGTTAGGATCTGGAAGGGACCTTACAAGATCATTGGGGTAACCCCCCCCCCCCCAATGTGGGCAGGAAAGACATCTGGGGTCAGGTGAGGTACTAAAACGGAGGTATTCAATCGAATGTGCATTACTAAAAGTGCATTCATGAACGTGTAGATGCACCCCGGGGTGGGTTGAGAACAGCATCGTGCCTGCTCAGGGTAACCTGCCCCGAGAGGCATGCCACGTAGCTGGTGCCACCAACAGCCACAGCAAAAGGTCATCATCCCCCTGTCCAGCCATGACACCGAGGAGCTAATGAACCCAAAGCATTGCTCGTGGTCTCCCTGTGCATTTTTTTCTTCTTTTGCACTTTAATATTAGGATATGTGCAGCACAATTCTTTAAATAATTTGATATATATTGTAAATAATATGTAAACATATGCACAATCCTGGTTTTGCAACATCTGTTTAAGCGTAATGAGACCTGGCTTTAAAAGTTAAAAGATGTCAAATGCATTAATAGTGCAAAAACCCAACGTCGCGGCGCTTCCAACTAAGGCAAACTCCCTCAAGGGCAGCTTGCCACCCTTCGTTTTCCATCCCATCCCGTCCTTCCGGGCCGGGGGAGCCCGAAGGGTCTGCAAAGAGGGCGAGCACAGAGTTTGAGGCGAGGATCAAGGCTTGTGAAATGGTGGTGGTCGCCCAAGGGACAGACCCCGGAGACGCACGGCGCGGGGCTGCATTCCCCAGGAGGATTTCACACCCCTGTTTTGCCCCCAAGCCCCCACTGCATGTTCGTGCTGGGAGACGAAGCCAAACGGCTTGAAAGTACTGAGGAGACGGAGGGCAGCGGGGAAAGGGCCGCCCGCAGCTTCCCGCCCGCGCGCCCCGAGGCGGCCGGTAACGGTCACCGGCGCCTCAAACAGCGACCATTACCCTCCCCCCCCCTCTGA